ATACAGTCTAAAAGGAAATACGTTGCTGTTGTTAAGTGCCATAGAGTCAGTTCTGACCCATAGTGACCCTGTACAGGGTTTCCGAGGAGCAGCTGGTGAGCCTGAACCACTGATCTTGCTGTTCAAACCGACCTTGCAATCTGGCGCATTAACCCACAGCGTCACACCAAGACTCCCCAAAGAAAATATGTATAATGGTTAGTCAATTATTTCTAAGGAAAGAACTAAGGGCACTGACCTTCAATTTTTACACTTTTTTCCACACCATGAACTTTTAAAAATTGGAGAAAAATAGGAAGGTTTTCATAAAACTGGAAGACCTGGAGACTGACTAATGAAATAGAATAGACCGGAAGAAAGCTCAGGTTTAGAAGGCATCATTTCCTTCAGTGGAGCACCACGATTGGAGAGCCAGTCCATTCTGCTTTCAAAGATGGCATTTTTTCCTAGATATCCCACACTCCTCTCCTTCATGTTCCTTCCTATAAAGCCCTATCTTTGTGGGGCCTGCCCCTCGCAGCGGTGGAGCCCAATGATGCCATATATGGTGACCTCAGCTAGCGTCCAGCCACGCTGACCTGGTGACCATCTCACCTTGAGCGCCCAGTCTTGGTGGAATTTGGGGAGTCGCAGGCTATGCTCTGGCCTGGAGACTGCCCCCTCCTTTCCTAGCTCCAGCATTCTCCTCACCAAGGCTGCGGCTCACGAGGACAGCCCATGACCAGAATTAGCTCTGTCCACTGCTTTCCCCGTCTCCTTGGGCCTCAGGTGGCACACAGACCATGCAATTGAGAACAAGGGTTTGGGCTGTCGGAGGCAGCTCCACCTGGGCAGGTAGGCGACGGGGTTATTGTCTTGAGAGGAAGAGCCTGAGTGTAGGTCTTGCTGGTATCATCAGCCCCATCTTGTAGCATAACCACTACTGTGTGTGTGTCGGGGGGAGATTAGTCACCCAGCCACCTAGGTAAGACCCCCCCACCCCAGTTCCCGCCTGAGGCCTGGAGAGGGACATTGATGAGGACACAGACCTTCATTAGTGCCGGTCAAGCTGCCCCTCCCAGGGAGCCTCATTAAGTACTGTTTGGTCCGTCACCTCTGGCCCTAGGTACTAATTGCACACACACACATGTACATGCATACACTGAACTCACATGTACACATACATGCACACACACTGCCACCGCAGGGCTCTGACTCACCAACCACCACTCAGAAATCAAGCTCATTAGATGGGCTTAGCCTCCCTCCAACAAGATCAACAGAACATGTATGATTCTAACATAGTTTTTGGTCAAGTTATTCAATGATGCTAAGTAAAACACTTAAGAAGGTAAAATGTTTCGTTTTCTATATCTAAGTAGATTCAAAATGGTGTGAGCTTCAGGTTTCCATAAGGGCTCATTCTACAGCTAAAGAAGGGGCTGTGGAAGGCAGTGTGCATCACACACCTGTAGCATCTGCTTACCGGGAGGGGCCACAGGTAGGCTTGCAGGTCTGCGCTGACTGTATTCTTCATGTCATTCCACATATGGTTACCTCTGGTTAGTGACACTGCCAATTTGCCCTGAAGAGGACATGGCAGCATGAGTGGGGTCCAGACAGCAGATACATACCTCTGGTCAAGGGCTACGATGACCAGGAGAGAACACCTGGGGTCAGCTCATTCCAGGGACAGACACACATGTCACCAGCTGTCTTTGGCAGGCTGGTCACCAGTTACAACTACACCCCAACATGAGGCATTGGCAGTGGGCAGAGTGAACATGATGTGCTCAGGCTTCTGACAGGAACCAGGTTACAGGGGAACCATCCATGAAACAGGCCCAGCCAAGGCCCTGGACCCACAAGGTTGTCATAAGGATGAGTGGAGCCTGGTCCATGGGGCGCCATGTGGGACCTGGGTGTTCAGTCTTTCCTTATACATTATACACACTCATTGTCTGAGGCCTTTGTGAATTTGAAAGAGTCATTTAATGATAAGAACTTATTTCAGTAATAAACCCATAGCTCCTAGTCACCAGGCAGCTACTAGGGTTCCTGCAGCCCTCATCCTACAGGGCAGAAATCCCATGACTGTCTTCTACCAAGTAGGACAAAGAAAAGGTAGTGTGTCACCTCTTCATCTCAAGGCACAACCTCCTCTCTGGGATCAGGTCTTACACCCACCCCATGAGGTCACCTCCACACACCGTGCCCTTTAACCCCCTGTCCCCCTTTGGAGGTATGTGGTGAAGGTAGAGTGAAGCCTTCTCCACCTGAGCTCAGTATGTGGGCACCTGCACACATTAGTGTACAATCAGGAAGGGCCGAAAACAAACTAGAAGCATCACAGCCCACCCCCCTCACACACCACACACACACACACACACACACACACACACTCTCTCTCACACTAGGGCACACTGCTCTGAGGCCTTGTACCTGGAGCAAAGGGATTCTTCCAGAATCTGTGGTTTTGTAGGCAAACCCTTGCCTCAGCACTTGGTCCATCCATCTCTTCAGGATGGCTGGCACACTGAACCAATGCAACGGGAACTGGGGCAGAACACAGGGAGAGGTAAATGTATATGACTGTTTGGTGATCTCCCCCTTTATCCCACCAGAGGGTTCAGAACAAGTCTCACTGCCCTGCTCTTGTCCTTGGCAGTGTTGCCATTGCGGGGCAGGTGGGCGCACCCCTGTGGAAATGCATGAGTGGGGGTATTTCTTCCTTTTGTTCTGATGCTTGGTGTGGGTGTAGTGGGGGGGGGGCAGAGGTGGGTGGAAGTGTCCTGCGTGCCCTGATGTTGGTCCCTGGTGGGCAGGGAGGCGGTGGGAGGCCCCGCTGGACATGGCTCTGTGGTAGCATCTCAGTGATTGAACCAATGGGGGGAGGGGGGCGGCGAGAGCAAAGTGTGGGAAAGAGTGGGGCCTTGTTCCATGCTCGGGGAGCTACTGGCATTTGGGAATCAGATGGTGTTCAGTTCTGAGAAGCTGTGAATTTTGACACCCTATCCTCTGGAGTCCTGGTGTGGCGCTGTGGGTTAATGCGCTGGACTGCAAAGTCAGTTTGAACCACAAGGTTGGTAGTTCAAGCTCACTAGCTGCTCCTCAGAAACCCTATACTGGGTCACTATGAGTCTGAACCACCTCGATGACATTTAACAACAATAATAGTCCTTTTATTAAACACAACAGCCGTTAAGATCTTTCTTAAGACCACTCTAATTCCCATATAAGCCTTAACGACATCTAGTGGTGCTGTCTATGAAGGGAGCGGGACACAGTGATCTGAGAATCCCATATAAGCCTTAACGCCATCTAGTGGTGCTATCTATGAAGGGAGCGGGACACAGTGATCTGAGAAGCCCATGTTCCAGGTGCTTTCAATAGAAGTCATGTGCAGAACGAGGCTCTGAAACCTGAGTCCCACAGCCGATTGCTGTGTATTGTTGATACTGTGCGCCCTTTGCCTTCTTTTCCTGACTTGGCAAATAAGCAGCTAATAGTTCCTAGTCAGTATTCCACAGCACACTGCCATGCCCAGCACAGTAAGTATCTGGGAAGTGATGGACATGGTGGCCACAAGCTGAACAGTGCAGATGGAGATGTGGATGAGAGAGAATGAGAAAATTCACTGAGAGGGCAGAACCGCTGGGCAGAGCGTCAGGAGAGGAGGAATGCTGGGGGAGAAGATAAGCAGGAGGGGTGAAGACATGGAAGAATATGGTAGAAAAATGGGCTGCGACTCTCTGCAGGGGCCCAGGAGGCAGGGAAAAAAGGACTCCTGGCATGGCACTGTAGGATCAGCACTGGACTGTGAACTAGAAGGTCAGCAGTTCAAACCCACTAGCTGCTTCTAGGAAACTCTATACAGGGTCACTATGCACTGGAATCAACTCCATGGCACTTCACAACGACAGCAACAATGACACAGGAAACAGAAAGGCAGCTCTGCCTGGGTTGGCCGACTACGGGGCCAGGAGTCAGGGATCAGGGTCATGTGACAGGAAGGGCCTGAATGTGTTCCTGCTGGGACCACCAACCCCATCTTCTGGCATGATCACTGTTATTCAGGTGACCAGTCATCCAGCCACCTGGTGGAGGCCCTGCCAGCTCTCAGTGTCACCAGGATGACAAAACACAGGCCCTGCACCTTGACCAGGTCAGCTGCTCCAGGTCTTCTAGTTAAAGAAGGGATCACTGAGGAGGGTGGGTGGAGCAAACCTAGGCTGGGCTGAGGAGGAGGGGAAGGCCTCCTCCTCCCACAATTCCCATTCTTTCTTGAAGGGCTTGTGACCTTCAATTTCTGGAATGCTGTTTTTTCTGGAACCTACCCCACTGGTCCTCACCCATCACATCCACAAGGTTAGTCAGTCCAAACTGAAGGTGTCTTATTCTCCCAGTCGATTCCTGCCCTCAGGCAGAGCTGGAAACCTCAGATGGTCTGCGCCTGGAAAACCCCTTGCTTAGAAGTTGTGCGTCTGAGATCTAGAGAATGAGGTCACTGGTGTGTATACAGTGAGTGTGTTAGCAAGTAGATCCTAAAAAACAAGCAGTGTGAATCCTAAAGAAAGAGGTTCCAGCTACTCCTGGAATCCTACAGAGTCCAGCAGGCCCAAGTGACCAGAATCCTTATAACAGGATTGTTGTTAAGTGCCATCAAGTCAGTTTTGACTCATAGTGACCACATATAGGGTTTCCAAGGAGTGGCTGGTAGTCTCAACTGTTAGCAGTTCAGTGCTTATCCTACAGCACCAAACCAGGACTCCATACAAGGATTACATTTCCCCTTTTCCAAGCTTGATTTGGATTTCTGTCAGTCCAATGATTCACAAAACGCACCTGTGTGTGTGTCTACTTTGCCCCAGGCTTACAACCACACCAATGACTTGACACCTCTGCTAGGGCACCCAGGGGTCTGGATGAGTCAAAAGTCACAGCAGCAGTTTGGTGGGACTGATCCTTTCTGGGGTGCCTTCCCCTCCTGGCCAATGTGTGATTGAGTACAAGGAGCAGGTGAGAGGAGAGGAAACAAGGTGCCCTCCAAATGACCAATCTGGAGGGGCAGGGAAGCAACAGATCCGGGCCAGTGGGCTAAAGGGAAGTCCTTCATGGATCAGCAATTTAAATGGTGATACTGGCGACATGATCCCATCATCTAAGTGGACAACAGATGGGTATGCAAGTGTGCTCAACTTAATACCACTGTGAGGAGTTGGAAATCATCATTTGGGATGAGTCAGTACATGGTTGATTCGAATCCTGTATACACATCAGAGGGGACACAAACCTGAAATATCACTAGGTCGGCTTCTTGAACTTTTTTCTGCTCATCAATGATATCTCTGGCCAGAGATCTCTTCTTGCAGGCTTCATAGGCTTCCACCCCATAGCTGAAGACCTCGGGGTTAGAGCACGCACCTGGGGAGAAACAGGTCACTGGTCTCACCCCAGTGAGCATCCACAGTAAGCCCCCCCCCCCAAGGAGAGCTATACCCTACCTGGACCCTCAAAGCAACTCAGCAGACAGTCTCTGAGCCCCTTGTAGATTACAGCCAGGGGTTATGGGAACAGGAAGGAGGAAGACACTGTCCTTCCTGGGTTTAAAACCTCTTTGTATTACAAATGGCAACAACATTTATAAGTGACTTAATATAAACACACACAAACAGGTGTGTGCATATATACAGAGAAATTAATCCTCTCAGACTGGAGCCCTTGTGTGGCACCGTAGGCTAAAGCACTGGGCCACAAGGTCAGTGGTTCAATCTCATTAGCCTCTCCTTGGAAACCTATACAGGGTTGCTATGAGTCAGACCGACTCCAGGGCACTTACCAACAGCAACATCTAACCACAAGATTGGTAGTTCAAACCCACCAGCTGCTCCTCAGAAATCTTATATGGTGTCACTATGAGTATGCACCAACTACACAGCACTTAACAACATAGAAACAATACACAATTCATAAAAGCATTTAAGATATGAAAGAAGAGAACTTCAAAACCACCACTGGGGTAGTAACAGAATACCTGTGCCAATGGAAATGCCCCCTTCTCCATAGAATCCAAATCAAAAAGGGTCAATTCTTTCCAGTTCACCTGCACATTTAATGTGACCTCAACAAACAACAATGCCAACAGAGTGTTTCAGAATGACACTGGAAAGCAGTGTCATAAAAATTTTTTTTCCCTTCATGCCCTCTGAATCTAGGTTCTCTTTTGAAAGCTTGTAAGCCAGTCACTTCTTGCCTTTGTAGCCTCCCCCGCCCCCCCACTTTGGGTAGCCAATGTCCAAGTTGCCCATCCCTGTCTACTCTGTGTGTGGAGGGGGTGGGAATGATTCTTGCTGTAAAGACTTGTTCCCTCTTTTGAGCTACTGCATCGATAGGTGTAGGTCAAGTTCATCAAATTGTATCAGATTACTCTTTTTTTCCTCTTTTTTCCTCTTCTGGTTGAGCTCCGATCATCCAGTCATTGAAGCCAGGTCAAGTAGGTATTATCTGCAAGTGTGGGTGTTCTTGTGCATATGCCCTCTCTTCTTATCAGCTGGACGCTTCACTCTCCACTCTAGTCCTCTGTGGCTATGTCACTGACTCTGGGCCTAAGAGTCCCCAGGTCTTGCCATACTGCTGGCCAACCAGGTCTTCACCAGGGTTCACAGGAGTCTATTGAACATTGTAGGGCTTAGCTCGCATCTTCATTGCTGTTTTTCCCTCACTTCCCCTTATCGGTGACAAGCGTAGTGTTATAAAATTTTATGGGTCCCTTGCCTACTATTGTAAAATAGACACAAGTGGGATAGAAAGGAATGCCGGAAAACATGATTACAGAAAGCTTGTAAGCCCGTCTTCAGCCTATAACTAATTGGAATACCTAAAAGGGGTTCTACAACTTGCCCAGTGAAATAGGCCTCTTGCGGAGCATTTGCAGAGTATAGGACCTTAGGTGGAATCCTGAACCCTATCCAGAACCTTCCGAGGGGATACATTCCCACTAGAAAAGACAAGCAGACCAGCCTAGAGCAACAGAAGATACATATTTGAAGAAAGATCATCAGGAAAAACCCAAAACAAAAGTGGTAGTATGATTGGCTACTACAAGAATAAGCAAGTTGTTCACCTGGGAAGCCATCAAGGCAAGCAATCAGGACAAACTCCCCTCTAAGACTGAAACTCAAAGGGAACACATGAGCAGGCATGCAAGCTTGCTGGCAACCACAGTGGTCTACTGGTGAGTGGAAGAGGGGGAAAGGCAGCAATGAAGAAATGGGCTAAGTTCAACCATGTTCCATAGACTCCTGTTGACCTGAAGATGAGAGAGCCAAGAGGAAGGGCTGGTTGGTCCAAAGTGTGGTGAGACCTGGAGACACCTGAGTCCATGGACAAGGACATAGCCACAGAGGGTTAGAACTGAGAGTGAAGCATCCAGCTGATATGAAGGGAGGGGAGATGCACAAGAACACCCAAACTTGCAGACAGTACCCATTTGACCTAGCCTCGATAGGAAGGATTAAAAAAAAGGAAGAGCAACTTTTGATAAAGGAAATGTGGGTAAATTGCTACAATTTGATGAACTTAACCTGTACTCATGGAAGTAGTAGTTCTAAATACCAACAGAGAGGAAGGAGTCTTCATATCAAGTATCAATGCTATCCCCTCTGTATACAGGATAGATAGGGACAGGCAAGTTAGATATTGCCTACTTAAAATAAGGGGGTGAAATAAATAAATGAGGGGGCAACAAAGGCATGAAGTGACTGGCTTACAAGGTTTCAAGAGGAAGTTTAGTTTACGAATGTGTGGGGGAAGAGAGAGTCCCACTGAATAGTTTTCATCTTGTCTAGATGGGTCTGGTAAAAAGAGATGAGGGCAAGACTCTTATGATTCAATAGTGAGTCATTGTGATCATGACTAATTGCAGCTGTCACAACTGTAAAGGTAGAAGTTTTGTAACAAAAATGGGGGAGTAGTATATCTTACATTCCAGGATCAGAGGACCCTAGGGCCATCAAGGGAGAAGAGCACGCGACACCAGAGATGGAGGCAGAGATGAAGACATGGAGAGAGGGAGCAGCTGAAGACTCTGGATTCATGGAAAGAGGGGGACTAAGAGCTGGTGACCAGGAGGCAGGCTTGCAGAATGTGCCCTTTGGTGGTATAAATTGTTATATATGCCTGGTTTAAAAAAAAAAAAAAAAGGTAAAATGAATATAGAGAAATAATGTTAACTGATGGTATACAGAGGGGATTATAATCATTGTAATGAAACAAAGCATATGATTTGCTAAATGTAAAACTGATGATCTGCCCTATAAACTTTCACTCAATTCACAATAAAAACTTAAAAAAAAATTTTTTTTAATGGGAAAGTAAACTAAAGATAGCTAGAAAAAATGAAAAACAAGAGAATTGAGATTAAACTGCTGGGAAACACTATACAGGATCACTATAAGACGGGACCAACTCAAAGGCACTTAACAACAACAACAATAGGTTTACTTCAGTGCAAGAGAAAGAAGTCTGGTGGCACAGAGGATCTGGTGTGATGCTGTAGGATAAACACTGGACTACAAGTTGCAAAATTGGCAGTTCAAACCACCTGCCATCCCATGGAACAAAGATGAGGCTTTCTGTTCCTATAAAGATTTATAGCTTTGGAAATCCTATACAGAGTCACTACAAGTCAGAACTGACTTAGAGGCATTTAGAGGGTTTTCTAGGTGGCATAGTGGGGTAAACATTAGTCTGCTTACTGCAAGGTTGGTAGATCAAACCCACCAGTCACCCAGTGGAGTGAAAGATGAGATTGTCTGTTCCCATAAAGGTGAACTGTTTGGGAAATTCTATACAGGCTTAGATCAAAACAAGGTAAAATGCCCCTGAGAGGACTTAAAGGGTGTCATCTCCATACAATGGAATACTTTGCAACAGTAAAATAGAAAAATGGCTTGTAAAACCTTGTGGACAGTAGGCATCTGCTTTTGTGTAAATGGAGGGAAATGGCAAATCACTCCCATCTACTTGTGTAGTAGAAATTGTCTCTACAGAGACACAGGAAACTCTGTGGAACTGTGGAACTGGTTGATCTGGGGGCTGAGAAACTAGGGTCTTGAGGTGTGGGGTGGGAAGAAGACCTTCACTGTATATTCTTTTTTTTTTCATTGTTATTCCTTTTTTTTTTTTTTTGTAGATTCTTTTGAACTGACAATCTCATGTCATACGTAACTGTTAGCTTTTACGTGAGCATTTTAAATGACAACAAAAGGAAAACAAGTTTTTTTAAAAACAGCGTATTTATTGGTCCCATGACTCACCAGTGGCCCTCCGCTCAAAGTCCATGGTGTATAAATCTGACACGGTGACAGTACAGCCCTGCCTGCTTAGCTGGTCTTCTGCCACTTCCTTCAGGGATCCGTCTAAGGAACTCGGGGCTTGGTGTGCACAGACCATCAGCACCTTCCTACCTGAATCAGGAGAAGAAAAGGGTTCTCTCCAGCAAATCTCCTTTGTCAAAATTCAGTGGTTACTACAGAGAAAGTCTAATGTTCTGGTACATCACTGAGGCTGAAGCTAAGAAAGACTAACCTTTTCAAAGAGGGAAAGTTTTTAAACACTGTCCTATTTTATCTAGGTATATCAGACTTCACCAATGAATATATGAACAACAAAATGGGTCAAATTACATAGCATCAAAAACAAACATTTAATTCCTTTTTTAAAAGTATTTATTTATTTAAGCTCCTTATTGTGAATTGGGTGAAGGTTTACAGAGCAGATCAGCTTTTCATTCAACAATTCCTACAGAATTCGTGTCATAGACTGAAATCCTCACAATGTAACATCACTACACTTTCCCCTTTGTTTCCTGTTACTGTTCCTCCCTCTTTTCTAACCCTTCTGAGCTTTTTCCTTCAGCAAATGCTGCCCTTTGGATCTAAACAGGTACAGGATGAAGTATGTACCTCTCTGTATTATTGGCTCTTTCATAGATCAGTCTATTGTTTGGATGAAAATTGGACCAAGGGGCTGAGTTCAGTTCCAGACTTGGAGGGTAGCTGAGGAGCATGGGCTCAGAGGTTCTACCAAACTCTAGCTTACCAATAACCATGGCCTTTTTTTTTTTTTTTTTTTTTAAATGAGTTGAGTTTTTTTCCACATTTTCTCTCATTTTATTTAGGACCAGGAGCCCTGATGGAGCAGTAGGGTAAGCACCGGACTGCTAATCCCAAGGACAACAGTTCAAACCCATCAGCGGCTTCTCCGGAGAAAGACAAGGTTTTCTGCTCCTGAGAAGATTTACAGCCACCAAAACCCTATTCCAGATTGCTATTGAAATGGGGCACTGAGAACCCTGAGGTACTAATAGGGTTTTTAGGTTAGCTAAAATCAAATCTAGAAGAAGGTCCAAGTGGCCATCCTAGCAGAGTATATATAGTCGGGATTCAGCACCCCTCACCAGCTGGACTTCCTCCTTCTGTCAATATGGACTCAATTTGTAGTCCCCAGCTCCTCCCCTTTTCTTTAAGATTAATCACCTCTTCGTTGTTGTTGTTGTGAAGTGCCGTCGAATCGGGTCCTACCCATAGCGACCCTGTGTAGGGTTCTGAGCAGGTGGTGAGCTTGAACTGCTGACCTTGCAGTTCAAATGGTTTTACAGTCTGGCGCATTAACCCACAGCACCAATCTCTCCTTTAGTTAGTAGTTAATCTCTCCTTAACTAGTTAGTAGTTAAGGACTGTCACAGGAACAGAAGAAAACCACCTTTTATCTTATAACGGTCACAACCTGCAGATACTAATGATGGCAGCTGAAGACGCCTGACTAGGAAGATCAGACCTGGGATAGACAGAGGGCTGAGAGGTCCTGAAAGTCCTCAGCCCCTCCTATCTCACACCTAGATTCCCTATAAAACTCTCCTTTCCCTTTTCCTCAGACAGACAGAGCTGGGAGATTTTCTGCAACCCTCACAACCCTGGGTAGAGGTCTGGGCCTTGGCAGGATACCCCTGGTTCCTTTTTCTGCTCTCAGAGCATTAACAGCAAATCTCAGCAGCTGCTGAGCTGCCCAAGGATATCCACAGTCCTCTCCTTGTAGCGCTCAAGGTGGGAGTGGACAGGGCTGTGGTCAGAGGGGCCATTGTAAGTGTCTATGGTCACTGTCCAGGCATGTAGGATTGCATAGGCTAAGGACTAGATTCTGCGCCATGGGCTGTTTTCAGGAAGGGAGCTGCTGACCCTGAGCAGGGCACACACGGTTCACTGAAGGAGGCCTGAGCAGGTCTAGATGAAGAGGGCCAATCATGAGGAACAATGTTAGCACATGCCCCATTGTTGATTCTTATTAGTTTAGCTGCAAATTGTAATACTCCACACACTGTACAACCAAGTGCATTCTTCGCATTTTTCCTACTCATAAACCTACTTGGCCCGGTATTCGATCTCTGTGAATTACTCTGCCCACCTCTACAATCTAAACCCTACTAACCCCCACTGCCTGCCTGCAGTGGAAGTCATTCCCATGAGGGGCTGAATGGGCTCACAGTATCAGTTTCATACAACTGAACCCAGGCTGTCAACTAGCAGGATGAGGACCAGGGTCCCCAGACCCAAAAGACTACCAAAAATGAGGGAAATTGCACAGGAAGAGAAGTGAGACCCCTTCCTCCTCCTTAGAACGAGTCGCTGAAGCTTTGAGCACAATGACATTAACCCCAAAGATCCCAGTAATGCGCAGTTAATTAACATGACCTTTCTCTCACAAAGTACACTGGACCTAAAAAAAGAGCTGAAAAACTTAAAGTGGGTTTGGGCATGCCAACCAGTCAATGGCTAGAGATTGTCTTTAAAGTTTTCAATAATTGTGACCAGGTATCTGAGAAGAAAGAGAAACAGAAAATGAATCAAAAGCCCGCCCCCTTTGAGCTGCAGCACTTGTTCCCACCAGACCAACTAAGGGCTGAGCAGGGAAAGGGGAGTAGGCCTTAGAGTGCAGTTCCCAAGGCTAACCAGTGTGCCAAGTGTGGTAAAAGGGGGCACTAGAAGAGGGAATGCCCACCCAGAGTGATGCCGGAGTCCTGGGGTGGCGCTGTGGGTTAATGCGTTAGACTGCAAGTCGGTTTGAACCATAAGGTTGGAGGTTCAAGCTCACCAGCCGCTCCTAGGAAACCCTGTATAGGGTTCTCTATGGGTCAGAACCAATTTGACAGCACTTAAAAACAATAATGCCCAGTCTGGGGAGCACCATCTTGGGCCGACCTGCTACCTACAAAGGAACAGGCCACCTGGACTTGGTTCCCTCACCCAGGCACCTCCAGGCATTTCAGGAGGAAGTGAACACGGCCACTGATGGGGCCCAGGGGGAGTCTACTACATTTTTTTAAAAAAATTTGACTGTATTTGATTTAGAGAAATGAAAATTTGCCCTCAAACAGAGCTAGAAATCAAATATTGTACTAGACTAGAGGAAACGGCTGAACTTAAAACTTAAGAGTGAAAAGAAAAATTTCCAGTCCTTGCTACTCTATAGTTCCAAACATTTTCTATTTCCCACCATGAGCCTTGTTGTTGTTGTTGTTGTTATGTGCCGTGGAGTCGGAACCGACTCATAGCGACCCTGTACAGGGTTTCCGAGGGTGTAAATCTTTACGGGAGTAGAAAGCCTCATCTTTCTCCCGCGGAGCAGCTGGTAGTTTCGAACTGCTGACCTTAAGGTTCACAGCCCAAGTCGTAACCACTACGCTACCATGAGCCTTGGCTCTTATGGGAGTGTCAGGAAACCCACTTCTGATAGAAACAAGTGTTCTCTATTGCTCAGGCTCAAATTGTGGTTGTTAGTGCTGTCAAGTCAGTTGCGACTCATAGCGACCCTGTACAGGAAGAGCAGCTGGTGAGTTTGACCCACCGACCTTGACCTTGCAGTCCAGTGCTTTACTCCGCAGCGCCACACCAGGTTCAGATTGAACCTCCATGAACTGATGGACAGGAAGACCAGTCCATGGTTGTGACTGAAACTCAGAATATGAAAGGCTGTGAACCCTCGACTACTTTAAAAACTCCTAATGAATTTGCTTCTCTCTGAATGTCTTTTCCCTCAGACGCCCTTTTCACAGATACTCACTGGAAGACTACAAGTTACTAAAAGTGTGGAAACATCAGTAGCTACAAGACCAACTTGCCCCTAGATGGTTGGGACCCTTTGGGGTTCTCGTAAGTACTCATTTTCCCCTGAAGCTGGCCGGATCTAGGCTTGGGTGCATACCTCCCGAGCCAGAAGCACCTCAGCCTGACTTTTTCTCCTGAATTCCCATAACCAGGCATTAACTATAAATTCATTAGGAGCTAAGATGACTCATTTATTAATCTTTCAGTGGTTTTCATGTTTCTTTCCCATTCAAGGGGCCCACTTAGAATAAGGACCCCCTGTCCTAAAGCCGAGGGGTCCCTCACCCTCCAGATTGGAGATTCTCTAGCCCTCCGGTGTGGTGTCAGCCCTTTTGCCTGTGGTGTCAGTCAAATGGGTAAAGTGAGACCTGGAGGCTAAGGATGTTACTAAAAGTACCATCTGGGATTTCTAAGACCCCTGGAACAGTCAAAATGACCCCCTGGTCAATACCACCCTATGTTACAACAAAAATTTCTCCATTTTCATTCAGGATGTGTCTTTTTAGATGCTGGCTTGTCATTGTAGAAAATGTAAGGAAACTCCAGACCGAGATAAAGACATTGCCTGGGGAAAAGGGATGCAAATCTTTGGCATTGGAATGTAAAGTTGCCATGTAACCCAGACTGCTAGGATGAGCCCTCTAATGGACAGCTATTCCCCCAAGTCAGAGATAAAAGACTGATAGATATGCAACCACCTCCCTGGATTGGGGTCAGTCAGGAGCTACACACCAAGTTCTGTGACTTCCCCAGTGTTTGGTTATCTCACTCCCATCTGCCAGCCTCCATGCTACCTGTGCATGCTCAGCTAATTCAAGACCTTTCTCAGTTTCCTGTTTTTGTCTGTCAGCGCTCATCAACTGAACTACTCCCTCTGGATGGAAAAAAACAGGCTAAACGAGGAGCTCTGGTAGTGTAGTAGTTACGAATCGGGTTGCAAACCTTAAGGTCAGCAGTTCGAAACTACCAGCCACTCCATGGGAGAAAGATGAGGCGTTCTGCTCCCATAAAGATTTACAGCCTCGGGAACCCTGTACAGGGTCGCTATGGGTCGGAACCGACTCGACGGCACTTAACAACAACAATAAACACCCAAAAGCTAATATTGGGCAACCCTACTGGAATTTTCAGCTAGTTCCCTCTGGTAATCAGTCCTTGTGGGAACGTGGTGGCTCCATAAATAGCTGCTGGACTGTGAACCACACAGTTCGAGTCTGCTAGCCGCTCTGTGGGGAAAGATGAGCCTTTCTGCTCTCGCAAAGATTTGAAACCTCAGAACCACCTCGCTGTGAGTCAGGACCCACTCGACAACACTTAACAACAAGAACAACAAAATCAGTCCTTGCAGAACCTATGGTTAACCTCAGTCTCCCAAGCACCCTGATGGGGAACTTCTGCACCCCTGGATACTCCTTTTTATGTGGTAGAAAGCCATATCCCACCAATTGGCTCCCTCAAATCCAGGGGTCCACCTACACTTGAGCCTTTCAGCCAGACCAGAATCCACTTGGCAGGACAATGCAACCTGGGCCTCCTCACCTTCCACTCAAAGACGTAGAAAGAAATACCAGTGACACATCACGGTAATGAGGTGGGAAACGGATAGCAGAAAGGGCATTTGGATGGTGGTTCCTCCAAAGTGCCACCCCAGGACGAGGGGGTTATCAAATGGAAATGACCATACATAACTTGTCCATACACTTCATCTCCTAGCCTTGCTGAAAAGGTTTTGAGAGCTCAACAGACCGCCTTAAATTCTTTAGCCAAAGCGTATGCGCAGTTATCAACAAGACTTTCTGCACCTGGAACAACACCACATGGGAAGTTGAACTCACAGCATCCACACAAAGCAGAATGAGCCAGTTCGAGGCCCCAAGACACAGGGACATGGGCCCTGGTTCACCAGTCCTTCCCCTCCTTAGGCTCCTGACTGATTCCCCTATTTACT